TAGGATTTTATACTTAGGAATGCTAAACCAGTAAAGTCTATGCAAACATTCTAAGATCTGTAAAACTCTGAACCCTGAAATACTTCTGGACCCATTCTGATAAAAGATACTCAACCTGTATCTCCTTTGAGGGTATCCAAATGACTAAGCCCGGAACCTAGCACAGACTAGATATTCAGCAAATATTACGTGAAATGAAAAAAAGAAGGATTCTAATTTTTTTTTTTTTTGGTACCGGGGATTGAACTCAGGTCCTTCTGCTTGTGAGGCAGGCGGCAGAACCACTGAGCTAAATCCCCAGCCCAGAAGGATTCTAATTTAATGGTTAAGAATGACTTTAGTCAAATCTGCCTGTATTTAGAGAGATGATAAGAGCTTTCCTACCAGGAAACAACCTCACCATATCTGAGGGGCTGGCAACATTTGTAATACCTCATGGCAACTTCACAAAAACTTTAATTAAAGAGCTTCTGAAGCACCTAAAGGCTTAACTTGAGATTTCCTGGTGGCTTCAAAAAAATTTTTTTTCATCTCCCAACCTTAATTATAACTGTTTAAAACACAAGGACAATACAGTTGTCTGTTTTTATTAGAAAAAAAGACAACAACCAATAAGAACTGACAGTTTCAGGTGTCAGGAGCATGGGCTCCATATACTTCAGAGCTCTCTGGAACTGCCAGCTCTTGGCTAGCTTTTGTTAGCCTCCAGGACAACGTTATTGTTTATCACTATTATTAGCTACCATTCGCTAAACAACTCTACCCTCAAAGGGAGCTGCAATAATCGCCGTTTTACAAGTAAGAAAATGAACTCAAAAGAAGAATCATGACTCAAATCCAAGCCTGCCTCCTTCAAAGTGTGATCATTCCATTATGTCACCTTGATGCTAATGGTATCAAGGACACATTCTCAATGAGAAGCACCTTTCTTTCACTGCCTGGGGAAAAAAGACAGTAAACCCTCATAGGTTTAGCATCCAAATAGGGAGTTATAAGTATGTGAGGAGCTGGAGGGCTGAGAAGAGAGAAAAGAATCCTTGCACAAATAAGTTTGCTGTTTTAGGTCGCACAAGAGGTAGTGCTAGAGGGAAGAAGTTGTCTTTTTTTTAATGGTTAAAATTTCTTGCCTTTGAAAGTATACATTAAAGAAACTTTCAAATCAAAGCCAACAATGAACATACCCACAAAGATAGTTCCCTTTTGAAAAGATGATTAATAGACTGACTTTTCACAACAAGAATCTAAACTGATAAAAGCATATTCATCTTAAGGATTACATACATAATCTTAATGTTAGTTGGAACTTTCTCATTCACATAAGTACTAACTGACATGGATACTCACAGTATTTCACAGCACTATATAATACTCAGACTTAATTTCTTGAAGATTATCTGCTATAATACTTTTTAAAAAAGTGATTTCTCATTTGTTCAGTAAGACTGTTTACAAACAGAAAATATTCCAGCCAATAAAGTAAGCCAGCTTCCTTTAAAAAATTTTATACCACTTTATTTCTGTATTTAGTCCCAGAGAAAGCAACTAAAATGAAAACTTTGTTATTTAGTGTCTTATATCACAGCTTTGGTTACAATGTAGATTGAACACATAATCTATTCTTGTCCATAGACAGCAATGTATGCACTAACATGTAAGATACACACTGACTTTGTTTAATCAAGGGCTGCTGGCTTTTTATAAAACATTAAAAGTACCGAACGATGATTTGACCCTTTAAACCAGGCAGAGAACTTCAGCACTATCTGAGCTGTACAGGCTATGTCCAGACATGACCAGACACCTGGGACACCCATGAAACACTCCCACTAAAGCCCAGATGGCCACAGCTGTGGCTTGTGGAGATGTGTCACCCTACATTCAAGAAGACATAAACCTGCTGATCATCACATAGCACAGGGGCCACATAAACTGGGATAGTTTCAGGGTTGAGCTTTTACTGTCTGTCAGCTTTGTGGGGATTCCTAATTTGTGAATGCAAGGCAAAAGCTGGGGGCCCAAATGCTATGCTTAGCAGTGGCATCCTGGGGTTTTCTTCAGTTGTGCATCTACTTCCTAATTGAGGAGTACTTGCACCACCAGGAACAGTGGAGTCTGTTCTTAAAAAAGCAGCTGGTAGGATTTCTCCCAAAAGAATTCCTCCTCCCAATCAGAGAGGAAGCTCCCCCAGAGTTTGGCTCAGATGCCACAACCCTCAACGCTCTAGAAAATGATGTGGACATTTAAGTGCTTTGTATCCCACAACCTTTTCTGAGCTCAGCAAAAACACAGGATTGGTGGCATTATGGCTCATAGTGTTTTACCTCTGCCAGAATTATAGCTCATTTCCTAAAATAATTATATCAGAGGTTGCAAACCAATGGTCTGTGGGCAAAATCTAGCCTACAGAGCCCTAGTTTAGCCTTGGCAGAGCTTTTAAAAATAAAATTGGAAGACTTCACATAAAAATTTAGAGATCTAGCTTTTCTTTGAACAAAGAGACCATCTAGCAACTGTAAGTAACAGCTGGCTGAAGCTGAGGTTATACTTCCCTTTCAGAAAGGCCAAATCTGCCTCAGTCTGCCTACTTCCTATACTCCATTGGGATCCCAGATACTGAGGTCTGGCCTTGCCTCACTCATTTACATACCTGATGGATTTGTGACACCAGAAATGTGTTCTACAGAGAGGCTGAAAGATTCTATGTTGCTAGGCATGGCGATGCATGCCTGTAATTCTAGCACTTGGGAGGCTAAGGCAGGAGGATCACAAGTTTGAAGCCAGCCTGGGCTACATCGTGAGTTCAAGGCCAGCCTGAACTACATAGTCAGACCCTGTCTCAAAAAAACAAAAATAAGTAAATAAACAAACTGTGCTAAGTATCAGGTTACTCTAATGGTATATTACTACTGCAGTAATTTGGGGAACAGTAATTTTTGGTTATGTAAGACTGTCCCCAAACAGGAAGGCTATTTAGCATCCTGTCCCTCCTTCCACCATGAAATCCAAGTAGCACCAAGCACCCCCTAGAGGGGCAGTAATATCTCAGCTGAGAACCACTACTACCATGTTAAGATTCATGAGGTGAGCATGTCCAGGGTTTGAAGAAAAATTTGCCTTGTCTTGAGAGGACTTTTAAGATTAAAAAATGAAAGAATCTTTTCTGATTAGTCTGGTCCAGTAATAACTGCTGAACAAAAGCAAGTATGTATACAAGTATAAAATTTTGGAACTTTCATCCATTTTCTTGCTGCTTTAGGGGTTTTAATTTCAGATATTTACAGACCCATATGTATGTATTAGGCACTGTGCTAAGTACCCAAAATAATAATTCCATGAGAGAGAGAAAATAATGTCATCTACATTTTATACATGAGTAAACTTGAGGCTCAGAGTGGGTAAATTGTGTGCCATCACAATATTAAATTAACAAATAGCAAGGTTAGGATACAAACTAGATATCTATGCTCTTAACCATTATTCTCCTGTACTATCTGGTAGGGCTCTGATGATGGTATAACTCTTAAAGACGGGTTAAGGCAAACCTTGCCTTTGAAACAGAGTATTTAAACTAGGCTGTGAATTTTTCAAGTTAAATGGCAGTAAGAAATGACTGATACTGGAGCATAAAAATGACCTTTCACTGGAAGAGGTAAAAGTTCCAATTTTAGAATTTTTTGTGCATACATATAAAGGTGATGCCAAATAACAAGGCAGAGATAAGAAAACAATAATTGCTGTTTCTCCTAAATGGGCCTTCCAAATAATTTCTAAAACGATCTTCCTATGGGATCTTGTGGTAACTATTTTGCAATTGTCATATTCACTGTATCAATCTCATATTGTTATAATCTCAAAAGATGTATGACACCAAAGTAACATTTACATTAAAATAATTACCAAGAACATTTTCAAGTTAAATACAACCCCCAGAAACAAAGATAAGCAGATTCAGATGTAATTTAAATATAACACACCCAAATGTTTTTCAGCTGCAACCTGTACACAGAAATATTTATAATACACACAATTATATAACAGTATGCACACAGAACTCTAGCCAAGAGAGCCTAGAAGGAACGCTTCAGTAGCAATGCGCACATCTAGCATTCAGATCTTGATTTCTAATAGCATTCTCTAACAAAAGGAACAAGGACCCTATAGAGAAATGGTTGATTCTAGAACTAGGTCAGAGAATAGAGAATGAGCCTGGAGTATCTTGCGGTGCCAGAGAGTACAGAAGTACTCAAAAAAAAAAAAATCCCACGACAACAGGGACACATCAAAACCACATGGAAGCCCCCCGCAAGAACTTCCAATGGCAAGAGCTGGAAAAATTGGAACACAAAAATAAATAGTATTGGATTATAACCCCCAAAGAATAAAATAAATATCCACAAGCCTAAAACGATAGAAAGTACAGTGGTACCTTAGTTCACGAATGATTCTAGTCACAAACCAAACTGGAGGAGAACTGAATCAAATTCAGTAGTTATGTTCAATGTTGACCTTATGGGGAAATTTGATTCAGTTCTCGTCCAATTTTGTTTGTGACTAGAATCATAGAAAGAATTAAGTTCATGAATCAAGGTACCACTGTAATGGCTAAATAAATGGAGGGAGGGGAGGACAAATCTCCTGTGCCAAAGAACTCCAAATAATTTAAGCAAATCATTTACACTCAAGAAAAAGCATATCTTCCCACTTTTCAAGTGTAAAGTACACACTGTGACTTTTTTTCCAAAGAGCATAATACAGAAAGGGATTTTTTTAAAAGATTAACTTTACCGAAGAAAAACCGGGCAAACACTTTCTCAGCCAGGTGATCAAGGTCAACATCAACAGAAAGTCATGTTGATGTATGTACTCTGGATATGATGCGATGAGAATGTTAAATGGCACTTTATCTTTGTGGTCTTCCCCTTAAAAATCCATAGTAACTCCAGTCTAACCATGAGAAAAGCAACTGACAAATTCCAATCGAGATATATTTTATAAAATACCTGGTAAGTACTCCTCAAAACTGTCAAAGTCATCAAAAACAAGGAAAATCTGAGAAATTGTCACAGTCAGGAGAAGCCTAAGGAGATACAACAACCAAATGTGATATGGTTTCCTGAATGAAATCCTGAAACAGAAAAAAATACAGTAGGTTAAAAAATAAGGAAATCTGAATAAAGTATGGACTTTCAGTTAATTTTAATGATTCAAATATAGCATGCTAATAAAAACTGTTAATAAAAGGTGAAGCTGAGTGCAGGGTATATGGAGACTATGGACTATAGTCTCAATTTTTCTGTAAAATTAAAACTGTTCTAAAAAAATAAAGTCTATTTAAAATTAGAAAAATAAAAACACCTCAATATGGTCGGTCTATGAACCCTGGCACAAAGGTTTTTTATTCACATCGCCAGCTCTGAAAGCACTTTCTTTTCAGTAGTCTTAGAAATCAGAGAAAATTAAAAGATAGATATCCTTTTGCTAACTTCCCAGCTCAGTACAGAAAGTGACATAAACCATTTGAGTTCTGGTGCCCTAAAGTAACAGAAGATGGGATGCTAGCCCACAATTTTAGAGCCGGTAGTTCTAAGCTGAATCTTTTCTTCTATATCAAAAATATCTTCTAATGTAATTGTTGGGCTTTGCACACAGAATGCCCTCCCAAATTCTCCTGTGCTCAGAGGCAGGGCTTTTGGAAGGTGAATGCATCACGGGCGTGCTATACCCATCCATGGATTCATCCACTGGTGAGGTCAGTGGGCTGAGTGTGCTATTGGGAGATGGGGCCTGACTGCAAGAGGATAGAAGGGCACATCTCCCACCCTGGCTCTCCCCTTTGTTCTCTCTGCTTCCTGGCTGAAATGATATGCGCAGCCTTCCTCTGTCAGGCTCTTCCACCATGCTGACTGTTAGAACTTGCAGATCACACATGGACTGAGACCTTTAAACTATGAGCCAAAATAGATGCCCCCTCCTTTAAGTAATGGGTATTGGGTATTGTGTACCACTGATGAGAAAGTAACTAAGACAATAACTAAATTCTACATTATTCCACAGAAGAAAGCCATAGTTCAAAAAGACAAAAATGTAGTCCACTAACTATTTTCTTAAGGTTTGTGTGGTATACCTGGTTGTAACTTACCATTCGAACCTCTCATTCTATTTAGAAAAGAAACAATTACGCCCCGGCCTATGATACAGGCACATAATTTCTAACTGCATAGCTGAAATAGTATATAACATTAAAAAAATGCTACTATACAAACCATTTGTGTTCCATGAAGAGCAATTTATATAGAGAATAGTAACCTTACTCACTTATTTTGCTAGATGAGCACTCTCTGCATCATTTACAGATTATCTGCAATAGCATTCTCAATAACCTAGTAATTCAATGTTAACATTACAATTTAGGGCAAATATGTATCAGAGCCATCATGCATACAAGTTTCTAATTAATCTCCTGAATAAACTGCATTTTACAAACACAGTAGAGCTAAAATAACATACCTTATTTATATCATGTATTTTCAGCACTTTACCATGCTTTTTCTTCTTTAATTTCTCAGTTACTTCTAGAATATTGTCCAGGAAATGAACTTCAATTATGAGCAGGAAATGCTGTGCACTTACTTGAATGTGATTTCTACTGTATGCAAAAGCTTTTTCCACTGTCTAATAGGACAACGCAAAATCTACCCCAAACATTAACCTTCTACCACAAACTCCTATCAGTACAGCTTTTTCCCTTTCTGCCTATATAAGTTACTGTGTGTTTATTCCCACTAACAGTACTTGTTAACTTTTTATTCTCCTGTAGGATTTATGTATATAAATCTTAAGAACAAGAAACAAACAAGTGCCTTGTGCATACTAAATGAGTATAAATGACAAAATATAGGACTTTAAAATAATTGGAAATCTAATTTGCTCTGGTTGGGTGTTTTAAAATCTTTGTTGCATCAATGCCTATGTCATTTAAAAACAAAGCTAGGACAGCTTAACAGCGACATATGCTAGAGGTAGATCTCCACATTTTATTGCTTAATACTGTTTTGAAAAAACATCAAAGTTCTTCATATGTAGTAATAATAAATGCTAACCCCCCAAAATTATTTAGGTATGTGCATATGTACTAGACCATAATTAAAATGTATTTCTTACTCTGAGTTGTTTGAGAAATACAGACTTAGAATATTGTGAGGCATTTTAGGTTACATAAGAAAAACGTTTATTACCTTTCCTGTTCATTTTTCTCTGATTGTAAAAAAAAAAGTTTAACTGATTAATAAAAACGGAATTATTTGAAAAACGTCTCAAATACTGACAAAGTCTATTTCTTTGTGATATGAATTTTTGTGTGAATTTTTCTCCAAAGCCCCTGCTATGTTCATGTAGCTTTCACATACTTATAGGAACCTCCTGTCTTCTAATATATCTAAAATATTTTTTTAAATGAGGAACTGATTTCATTAACTCAGAAACTCATGTTCTATGGATATTTCATAGCAGTAGGATTTGAAAAATTAACAAAAATGCTACTTAGTATGATTTATTCTCCAATTTTTAAGCTAATGATATTCCTAAATCCACTGTTCATTCATTTAATAAAATCTGAAGTTAGAGATACAGAAGGCCCATGCACTTAAAGTGAGAAATACACTGGCAGTTATAATAGCATAGAGTTAAGCTCTATAATAAATAGTCAGAAAAAGAAACAATTACAGTAGGACAAAAAGGGAAAGGTGAAGAAAGCTTCATGGAAGAGATAACGTTTAAGACAGATTCCAAAGAACAGCTTTTGTTTTGTTTGAAATAAAAACAGAATTATAAAGCTGGAAGGAAGTGTAACACATCATCTAACCCAGTGGTTCTCAATCTGGAGCAATTTTTCCCTGTGTAGGACATCTGACCACATGTGGAGCCATTTTGGGTTGTCACACTGGGGAGGCATGCTATTGACATCTGCTGGGCAGAGGCACAGTGCACAGGACAGCCCCTCACAACAAAGAATCACCTGGCCCAAGATGTCACTAGTGCTGACGCTGAGAAACCCTAAGCCCAACCCCAATACAAACTTACTTTACACAAGAAGATAACTGAAGGCTAGAGAGGTCTGGAAACTTGCTTAAAAAGACAAAATTGATTAAATGAGCCTAATATTTTGTCCTGTATTTTAATTCATAACACACATCCTGTATATTATACTAGGAAACAGATGTTAAAATGAGCAGGAACATTTTCACAAGATAGTAATCATCTAGAAATCAAAGCTGATATTGTTATATAATCTTCCTTGACACAGATCTAACCAATGGCTCAAAGCAAGAATCATGCCTATGATACCATTTTTTTTTTTTTTTTTGGTACCGGGGATCGAACTCGGGTCCTTGCGCTTGCGAGGCAGGCGGCAGAAGCACTGAGCTAAATCCCTGGCCCTATGATACCATTTTTAAAAATGATATCCTTATTTGTTCATAATAACACTAAATTTATGTTTAAGTCAGCTGTTGAACACAGATTTGAGAACTTAAAAATTACAATACAAACTAGGAAGCTGGAAGCTCTGCATATCCACACACCTAGGTATTTCCTGGGGCAGGTCTTCTAAGCTCCACCAGCTACAACCAGTGGGGATCTGGGCCTTAGGCAACACTGGCCCCCCCTTTACTCGAAATCAACTGCCAAATTAGCCTTCCAGTGTTGATAAGGTTTCCAGAGCAAATGAATTGTCCAAAGAAATTGTACTTTTCACTGCTTAACAGCCAGCAGTAGCCGTTTCTGAACGGATCTAAACATATGAAATCCATGAACATCTTTTTTTAAAAACCCTTGCTCATGAGTGCACAAAGGGGAGGGACTCACACATGGAAAGGGGTATAAACATGAAACATGTTAAGAGTGATATAGACTCATTTTTAAAAAGATATACATACACTTCTTACCTCCAATTATTCAATTGAAATTTCAACTAAGACACCTTGTGTAGTTTGACACACTACAATTTACGGTGACAACTTGAAGGCTGAAGACACTGTCCTAAAATAAAGCAAAGGTCAAAAAAGTAAGATTCAAACTGTGAAAACTTTAAAGATGACAGTATGAGAAAGTGATACAGCATATAAATAAAAGGTCATGAAAATGCAAGCAGTCATTTTACTACATGAAATGTCAGTGAATGAACTTTATGTTGAATCAATGCTAAGAGAAAGTTCTGCTCCCAGAGCCACCAGGCTCCCCTCTCAGGCACCTCTGGCCTAAGGCAGAGCTCCAAAAGGCAGAGGACACAAAAAGCTTTGCTGAGATTCTGGCTTCAGAAAAAGCTCGCAAGAAGAGCTTTAGTTACAGATCCCAGGCAAACCATCAGGGGTCCCTGCAGCTTCCCAAGATATACTGGTCATTAAAATGTAATGAATTTGATTACAAAACTGTGCTGGGGCCCTTTTAGGGCCATAGGTCTTTAAAATTTAAATGACTCCATAATGAGAATGATTAAGTCTCTGGTGAAGGAGAGGACTTTTTAAATTCCCACACCTCAAGCAAGCACCACACCTTCATAGCAAGCCTGCAGCAGTGAAGGAGGTATACAGTCTTCCTAGTTTCTCTGCCACCCTATGCCTCAAGAGAATGAGAACAGCTCACTCAGGACTAGGAGACCCTCCCAATACTCTAGCCCATGAAATCACTAATCCCCCATTCAGGAATGACTTGAACTTCATTAAGAAGAAAGAAAATTAATTTATCATAAACCTTAATAAAACAATACAAAGAGTTTTTGTTAAAGAAAAAAAAGCATACTTGTTGGCTCCTCAATTAAGAATATTAAAACTCAAGAACTCGCTAGATATTACAGCCTTACCAAACAGCCCTAGTGAATGAGGAAAAAGTTCTTCCATATAGAAAAATTTCAGCTGATGGGATAAGTGACCAAATTAGAACAACTGTAATTTTGCAACCTTTAAATAACTATTTCACATACTAGTAATCAATGAATGATAAAAAGCACTAGGTGAAAAGTCAGCCTTCATGAAAATATCCAGCTGTTCACCAGAACCCTCTGATGAATCACAGCAGTACTTAAACTGACCAGACATTATGTGCTTCTAATGTAATATGAACCGACAGCAAGTACTTTTGCCCACCGCTCCAAAAGCATATACTCTGAACCTAATGAACTCTACAGATCTAATGTCCAGCCCATATGAAATACAAAGTAGCCAGGGGTGGTGGTGCACACCTATAATCCCAGCACTACGAGGCTGAGGCAGGAGGATCTCCGTGAGTTTGAGGCCAACCTGGGTTAGACAGTGAGTTCAAGGCCAACTTAAACTACATAGCAAGACCCTGTCTCAAAAAACAAAAATAAAAAGACAAAGGAAAAAAGAACAAGTTAATACCCTGCCAATTCTGAGCATGAATAAAAGCAGAAGGGGCTCTTATAGATTACAAGTGAATTAAGAAAGACTTAACTGGGGAAAAGTAAACATGGACTAAGTATTATCTATGCTATTAAGGAATTATTATTAAGTGTGTTGTCTATAATGACATGGTAGTTATGTAAGAAAATGTATTGTTTTAGAGGCATGCTAATTTAGGGGTCAACTATGTTTTGTATATGCTTTAAATTCTTGGGAAAAAATGAGAAGGGAGAAGATGAAGTAAGTATGGTAAAATGCTAATACTATAGCATCAGAAGTTCACTGAATTTTTTATCTGTATACAGGTGGAAATGCTAACAAATAAAATTAAAAATAAAATAATTGCCAGCCATGGTGATACGAGCCTATATAATCCCAGCACTCTGGGAGGATGAGGCAGGAAGATCACAAGTTTGACCCCTATCTGGGCAACTTAGTGACTGAACAAGACCCTGTCTCAAAATAAAAAATAAAAAAGAACTGGGATGTTGCTCAGTGCAAAGGCCCTGGGGGTTCAATCCCAAGTACCAACAAATAAATAAATAAACAAAATATTATTTTATCAACTAGGAGTTGACTTGAAGACAAAAGGTAATATGTTCAAACTAATACAGTGGACCCTTGACTTATGAACTTGATCAGTTCCCGAGGGTGGGTTGTAACTCAAGTTGGTTGTAAGACAATACAGCTGAGATCTGGATGTTTACCTGGGTAAACACTATAGATAACAAGAGGCAGATGAACCTTCCATTAACCTAATTAACCCAAGTTGTTCCTCTGTCAAGCCGGTTGTAACCTGAGGGTCCACTGTACTTCAAAGGTTATTTTAATTATTTTGCAGACTTAAAAAAAAGCAGACAGAAAGGCTAGGGATGTAGTTCAGTGGTAGCGTATTGACCCAGCAGCACAAGGCCCTGGGTTCCATCTCCAGTACCATAGGAAAGGGAAAGGGAAGGGGAAGGGGAAGGGGAAGGGAAAGGAAAGGAAAGGAAAGGAAAGGAAAGAAAAGAAAAGTGATAAAGCACAGAAGTATGAAGCCCACATTCAATCCAGAAGCTTCTCTTGAACTGGTGAAAAGTACACTCTGTATCCTGATGAGAACGAAGTTCTAAGAAAGGAAAGATGAGTTCAGTAAAATAAGTCTATTGAATAAAAATAGTCAACAGAAAAAATGCAGTATCAAAAAATAAAAAGACATAGCTGGGTATGGTGGCAATGCCTGTAATCCCAGCATTCTAGAGGCTGAGGCAGGAGGATTCCTTTGAGTTGGGCTACACAGTGAGTTCAAGGCCAGCCTGAATTACAGAGCAAGATCCTGTCTCAAAAAACCAAAATACATCCATAAAATAAAAATAAAAAGGAAAATGCAAATGTCTTCAAAGAGGAAATTCAAAAGATTTTCCTGTAAGTCAACAGTTCTATGAACATGTTAGAGCATAACAGATTTATGGGTGGGACAAGGGAAAACTTAATGTATGAACTTTCCAAAAAAGATTTTTTAGATGAAGATAAAAAAAAAAAAACAGGTCTCAGGTAAAAATGGAGTAATACCAAATTTGAGGAGATATTATCTTCACACCCTAAAACACACAGTGACTGAACACGACATGACTGAAAATGCTACAAATAAATAGGGCCATTTATTTCCACGGACCTAATGTAAGATAACCGTTCAAGGCTATGATACAAAGGAGTAGCAAGGATGCTGAGAATAAGATATGAGCAAGTACAGGAGTGCTGACTTTACAGCTAGGAAAGGGGATGGGGCAGCTCAGCTTTTGTCCTCCCTAAGACTGCAAAGAATAGAGCAAACAAGATTTTTGCTAGAATGTCATTGGAAGCATTTCAAGAAGCAAAATAAAGAAGCCTTACAGAAGATATCCAAGGAGTCAGAAGGGTAGGGAAGTTTGAGTTTAACCACAGAGTGACAAGAAAGAGCGAAGAAAAGCAACTTTTTTAGAACTGAAAAAATAGAGGCATGTCTAAAGAGGAAAGGGACTACACACGTAGGGACGAAAAAGGACTAGTGACACGTCAATCTTTCCAACAGGGCAGAGTGCTGCAGATTTCAGAGCCAGTGGGACCATATTCTAGAAATGGGTGAGGTGTGAGACAGTGAGGATGGGATATGAAAAATAATCTCCCAATTGCTTCTAACCTTAGCATATGAGTCATCGAGTCATGATATATGGTTTACAGAAAGGAGAAAACATAAAATGATAAAACTGGGAAGTCAGTGAACACATATAAGCTGTAACAGTTGAAATAAAATGTATTATAATAACAGACAACACACATCATCCACCAGCTGTGGGATCACTGGCAAGTTGCTTAACTTCTCCGAGGCCCTGTTTCTTAATCCTCTGCTTAATACCAGACCTAATTATCCCACAGTTACCAAAAAGTCTACCATGGGAATTAATTTACATAGAAGAAAAAGTTTGTCATTGGCAACGCACCACATTTATTCATTAGGTTGAGAGCTCTCATATGGTGGCAAACTTCAAAATGTCAGACCTACCTCTTTTTTTCTGTTTCGCAAGAGCAGATGTGTATTATATCCACATACACATATACCGAGACAGGTACAGTGAGACATAAGTCATGATAGTAAAAGAGTAACTAGGAAAGTATCACTTTCTATGAGAGGGAAAAATTTTAGTTGATAATATGGATACAAATTTAAATAGCAATTAAGTGAAATTTCATATTCTGAGAGTCATGAACACTATGCTTAGCTGAAATGTAAACAATAAAATTATCCACTGTCAAGTGTAGAAAATGGCCAATGTTGAAGAGAATCAAAATGTTGCTAGTAGTCAGGAAATCATTTACTTACATTTATACAGACAGAGAAGGAGTGGGGAAGGGAGGGAGTGAGGAAAGGAGGGAGGGGAGAGAGGGAGAAAAAGCAAGGAAAGAATAACCTTATTAAAAAAGACATAATTATATAAGTGAGTACAGCAATTTAAAACAAAGTTTATGTAGAACTAGGGAACAAGTCTGAAGTTTAGATAAAAGTGACTAAGTCCCTGGCATTTGTAAGTAAATCTTGCGCGTGAAGACCCAACAAGAAGCCATCCATACTTGATTACAGAACATCAGGTAATTTACATCAACTCTCACTGCAGACAAGTAACAGAGTTAGACAAAATAGAAGAAATGACGGTCTTGAACGGGTCAAAGAGCTAACAGGATAGTGTTTTGAGATCCACTAAGGAACTGGAATTCAGAGAGGAGAGTCCAGCAATTCAGAAGAAGCAACTAGAGGTTAAACCATATCTGACAGCCTAATAGCCAAAAGGGGCAAAAAGGAAAAAAAGCCTCTTTCTCCACCTTCAGACTGGGACCCTGAAGGGCTACACCTTAGAAACTGGGGTAAACCAGAAATTAGTCCATACACTGAATGCAATGTGGCCTTGAAACATCTGGTTGATCAAGGAAAATCTCAAAAGTGGAGATTTAAGTAGTCTTGGATTTTCTCAAGCAGACACATACAACACACACACATTCATATTCCCCCTCCCCCTCCCCCTCTCTCCCCTTTTCTGAAATATATTGTCTTGGGTCTCAAACACTTTCTCAAATAAATTTTCACATACAGTGTCTAGCATACAATTA